GGGGGGGCTAAACCAACATCTGCACCTTCTCGACCTCGAAAGCCACAACTTGGTCTCCCAAGTTTGAGGCATCCCGCTCGAGCTCACCGATCTGCTCCTAGAGCCTTGCCTCCCTTAGTGTGTTCTTCGCCCTCTCAGTTTCCCGTTCAGACCTGAGGATGCGAATTGTGTCTTCCAGCATCACTACCCTCGCCAAAGCCTCCACTCGGGGTCCTTCGGCCCTCTCCAACTCGACCATCTTCCTTTCTAGCTCAACCACCTTCTCCGTCCACTCTGCACTTAGATTGTCAACTCTAGTGGCATTATGCTCAAGCTTGGCTCGCAAAGACAGTACATTTACCTGAAGATCCTCACATTCCGCCGGAACCCCTTTGCCCAACTCGAGCTCCTCGTCTTTGACCCTAAGCAGACCATCGAGCTCGCTACATTTGTGGATAGACCACATCAGATCCTCGTCCCTCTTCTCCAACTCCTCCCCAAGGGATTGAGTATTACCGCCCACCCTATGTTGCACGTGCATTTCACGGCACCTGTCACGATACCGACGATAATTTGCGGCCATTTTTAGAAAGACATCATCCTACATCTCAGCCCGACGTGCACTCTCGATCTCCAATATGTAAGTCTACAAACAAAGGAAGGATCAATGAAAACAAATGGCACAAAACAACGAAAATAGCAAAGGGAAACTTACCCTAAAGGCCATCCCAGCCACACCGCGTGACAAACCAGAGTCACTAATCTCCCAAAGAGACTTGCTCTCGGCGGCGGAGCACAGAAGGTCAAATTGGGGCACCAAGTCCACCGTGTCCTCCAACCGATTAAAGTACGATGGAATTTCGAGAACACGAGAAGGACCTTCCGCCCTCACATCAACCCTGGTAAAACCTTCCTCGAACATCATATCCTCAGGATCAATATCAGAATCAGATTCATAATCATCTCCCACTGCGCCTTTCAACCTCTCATTAGCCGAAGAAGGGGTGTGGCCTAGGGCTATACATTTGGATCGGATATCCGAAATCCGATCCGATCCGCTCAATTTCGGATTTCGGATATTTGGATTGGATTCGGATTTGATTTATTAAAATTTCGGATTTTCGAATTGGATTTGGATTTGTATAGTTTGAACCTGATCCGATCCGAAATCCGAATTTATTAAGGGAAGTATAAATACTAATTTTATTTTTAGGGTTAGGTCTTATTTCATTCTCGTTCTTTTCTCACAAGTCACAGCCTTATCTGAGACTTAGAATCCACCC